CCCAGACACATGGAACACTAGGTTGAATTCAATTAGTGGTAGCAAGTTTAAACTTAACCGAGAGATGAGGTCACAACAACAGTAACTAAAAAAATTAATTATGATGAAAATAATATCTCAGAGGCAAAATAATAATCTGCATAAGTTCATATAGCTGGATAATATAATTAAGCGTGCCATAATAGGCCAGAATATGAACAAAATAATAACTTTGTCCAACTAATCGTCTCTCGCTTATGCTTTGACTGCTAAATATCCAGTTTTATTCTTTAATGATACTAAATATATCCAGATTGATTACAAAGGACATATCCTTCAAAATCTCGGTACTAAATACCCAGTTTTCTCCTCCGATGACACTAAATATATCCAGCTTACTTACAGAGGACACATCCTTCAAAAATTTCTGTTGAGTCTCCACAGTAAGTTAGCAAAACATCTGCAAATGACAAAAACAAAACCATAAATATCTCATGCATTGAACTATTATTTATACTACATTTCAAAACCAATCAATTCAAATAGAACAACGGAAAAGCAAACCCCAAGAGATCTAAACAACTATTTATACTAGCTTACACTAGTACCCAACAATCCTAATTACACTCTACGTGTTGAAATGGCAACTGCAATGACAGCGCACGGCAATGATGCACTAAAATAAGAGGTGAAAATTTAACATTGCCAGGATTTTCTATTAGATTTTGTGATTTTGCTGATAAATAAATGGCCTAGTACGTAGAACACTGGACAATCCAGAAAGGAATGAAACGAAAAAGAAAGAAGCACCAAACATATATATTGGACTTTAAGATTAGCAATAAAGGTTCACCATTTTGAGAAAATACTAATGCTCTTACAGATGAAATTAAAAGTAAACAACTGATTGCTAATGCATTTATAGTGAAACATGCCAACAGCCAGCTAGCATCACTAAGATTAACACCATTGCAAGATATGGTATTACTAAACTATTAATTTTAAATCTGGCCATATACTTAGTTCCATTGCTAAACAGCTCTGCTGTCCATTTGAAACATTTGTTTGTAAATGAAGGACCTAGTATATAGAACACTGGACAATCAAGAAAGGAGTAAAACGTAAAAGAAAACCCTAAGCATATATAAAGATGCACCATACTGTGAAAATATTCTTGCTCTTACAGTTCAACTTTAAAGTAAACACGTAATTTCCACTCCATTTATAGTTAAACATGACAATTATCAACACCCAACTAGCACAGCTAGGATTCAACATCATTGCAAGAGATGATATTACTGAACTATTTCTTTGATATTACCCTTTTTTTTTTTATCAACCAAGAAAATTTTAAATTTTTATTATTTGGAGTACAAGGAGTACTCTTGCCCTTAATCAAGTTTACAAAATTCGCTTCACAAATCAAAATCCTCCTTGTTTAGAACATTGCGTCCTTAAGCACTTAAAAGACTAAGTAATTGCTTTTGCACAAACTCTTGGATTGCTGCACCACTCAAAAAAAGGATAATAAAACCTGATCACCTTACCCTTCAACCAAAGAAAGGATTACATTTGAATTACCTCAAACAAATTACTCACTGAGATGTCAACCTCTTTGAAAATCAGATTATTCCGTGCATTTCAGATGGACCATGCAACAACAAGAAACATGAATG